ACACACACACACACACACACACCAACACAGGAAAGCACAAACACCTAAACAAACCCAAGGGGGTCTCCGGAGATGTGATCGTTGGGTGTATTCGTTTCAACAACAACACATGTCGCACACAAGCGCCTACAACGTTTTCAAACACTCATTCATCTGCGAACTTTCATCGAGCCAGTGCGGGAGCCACCACGCTGCTTCGTGCGAGAGCCCTTCTTTCTCTTCTGTGCCTGCAAACAAGCATAATCGCACACACGCGCACGCATTGTTCACATAGAGTGAGGAGTGACAAAAACACGAACGCACGCAGACACACACACACACTCATGCACACACAGACAGACAAGACACACACACACACACACACACACACACACACACACACACACACACACACACAGAAGTACAATGCAGCTCACCGCTGACGCTGCAAATGGGTCGAACTTGGCGCGCTTCTTTGCTGGTCCTGATGACGCCGACGACGACGGTGACTCGGTCTGCGCGTGTGTGCGGCGCCATTCTCCAGATTTCGGCTTTCGCTCCTTCTTCTTGCCCTTCTTGCTCTCTGAGCTGTCCGCACTACCTTTCTTGCCCTTCTTGCCCTTCTTGTCCTTCTTGTTCTTACTTCTCTTGCTGCGCTTGTCACCCTGCAGTCCACACCGCAACATGAACGAATGAGTCAAAGTCAGCGAACAGACGATAACGTGCACACATGCACAGGGAAGAACGGACACGCGCACACACACACACACACAAAAAAAAAAAACAACACACGCACACACACATGCACACACACACCACACGCAAACACGCATATGCACACACACACACACACAGATATGCACACATGCTGCGTGGTGCACCTTTGTAGAGATGCTGATTTCCCCGAGGAGATCATCTCTGTCGTCCTCTTCCGTCCGTCGCTTCTTCTGCTCTTCCTCCCGCTGCTTCTGTTGGTTGCGGCGGTGGTGGGTAGGCGGTGGGCAGGGGAGTGAATTAGAATAAAACAGAGTCACAGACATGCTTTTGTACACACACATACACACATATGCACACACATGCACACATACACATATGCACACGCACACGCATGTGTGTGTGTGTGATCCCATCCCCGCCACGCAGCGCCACGCACCACTTCTGAAAGAATCATGATGTCGTCTTCGTTGTCCGAGTCCTCCACAACAATCGCGTCACCATCACCACTACCGCTCTGTTGCTGCTTCTTCTCTTCTGTCTCTGGCTCTGGTTGGCTGTCCGACACACCACCTTCCTCCTTCTTCTCCTCATCCGCGTGTTCATCAGACTGCAATGGGCATGCGTGTGCGTGTAAGTGTGTGCGTGTATGTGTGTACGTGTTAGTGTGTGCGTGCACACGAGTGACATCAGAAGAGAGCAGGTCACAAAAAGCACAGCACACAAACAGCCCAAAGACAGCACACACGCTCTGTCGTAGACATGGGAATGGAACACAGACAGACAGAGCAACGCACGTGCATGTCGAGAATCTCCTTTGGTGTTGCGGCGAAGAGTGGGGTGCGCGCAAACGAATGAAGAATGTCGGCCGCAACAGACGACACCTTCGTGCTCTTCTGTACTCAAAAAACAAAAAAGCGAAGCGAACAATGTCGAACAACAGCCCACAAGCAGTAGGAATCCACCATGTGAAGAAGAACAACAACAACAAATACGAGGGAAGCCAAGGACGGACAGCAATCGAGTCAAACAGGCATCTCAACCGCTTCACACGCACACACACACACGCACGCACGCACACACACACGCACACACACACACACACACACACGCGCACGCACACACACACGCACGCACGCACACACACACAGACAGACACACACACACACACACACTAAAACGGGCCGTGGCTACCAACCTGGGCTGCAAGAGCCTGGCCAAAGCGAGTGGAGGAGCGCTTGACAAGACCGGCAGACGAGAGATCCAGGTCCTGTTGCATCATACAATGGAGAAGGTGGGCAGCGGTCAGCTCAAAAGAGTGCAGAACGCAGCAAGCACATGCAATTGTCCACACACATGTATCGTACAAATGGACACACACACACACACACACACACACACACACACACACACACACACACACACACAGACACACACACATGTGCATTTTACGAGTGCTTACGCACCTGGAGGCGTGGCATGGCGAGCTGGTAGCGCTGCTTCGTGTCATCGGCCGGTTTCACGGTGTCGTGGGAGAGGACGGACTGGACGTCGCGTCCACCGGACACGTGATCGGTGGTGAGGACGGTGGATCCATCTGCCGTCTCCGCAGCCAAGCGGTCGGCGTCTGTCAGCCCAAGCTGCGCATTCGTAATTGTCTGGTGGCACACGTGCATGTATGAGAGACGATGTGTGTGAAAGTGTGCGAAAGTGTGTGGAAGTGTGTGGAAGTGTGTGCGGGTGCTTGTGAAGGGTGGGAAGAATAGTTGCAACAGCACGATCAAGCATCTATGTGCATGTTCTCTCCCTTGCAGCTGTGCCCTCCCCTCTCCTCAAACAACACACACACACACACACACACACACACACACACACACACACACACACACACACACACACACCTCGATGATGGTGTGCGCGTTCATGCGGACGAGCGTTGGTGTCGGCTGGCAGATTGCAAACACCTGCACGTGCGCACGAGAAATTGAAAGAAATAACATGTGGACAGGCAAAGCGGTGTTACAACACGTGTAACGAGATGCGCCATTTGAGGACGTGTTGGTGTGTGTGTGTGTATGTGAGTGCGCACGCACATGCGATGCAGTACAATTAGCAAACGCCACAAGATGATGCAAACAGCAGACAGCAGGTATCATTACGATTACCAGTCGCCACCAACATCCACAACGCACGTCCCCCATACGCCGCAACACACACAACAACACAGCAGGATGCGACAAACCACAGTGGGCCACAAACACAGCAGCACGCGACGCCACCCACCTGCGATGGCTGCGTGGGCGCGTTTCGGGCGAGGGAAAAGAGCATGTGGTCCTCCATCACATATCTGGCGGGAGAGGGACAAACACACAGGAAAAAGGACAAACAAACAAAGGTATTAGAGGGGAGCGTTTCGTGCGCGCTTACAGCAAAAGTGGCAACACACTGCGTGGTTTCATTGCTGCCGCACCCACACTGCCACATCACCACAACCAACACTCAACCATTTCCCTTCACACATACACACACACACACACACCACCACCACCACCACCACAACCACCACCATGACGGCATTACCTTGGAGACTCGTCCTCCCTGCGTGCGACGGCGTCGCGCCACGCGTGCAGGGCCCTGAAGATGGCCAGGCCCTTGGGCGTCAGCGCGAGCGACTGCCTGTTGTACAGCCGCATCGCCTGCTCCTCGTCATACTTCGGCACCTCATACCGCTGCAGGCAAATGTCTGCACACAGGTGGTTGTGTGGGTACGCGTGAATGAGGGAGAGAGAGAGAGAGAGAGAGAGAGAGAGAGAGAGAGAGAGAGAGAGAGAGAGAGAGAGTATGTGTGTGTGTGTGTGTGTGTGTGTGTGTGTGTGTGTGTGTGTGTGTGTGCGGGTCGGATGCGATTCAAACAACCGAACACAAAGAACATAACACAAGTCAGTTACAGCAACAACATCAGTTGCAGCAGCAGCGTGTGCCCACCTGTGCTGCGGGTGAAGACGGAGCGAAGGAGATTTGCATTCTCGTTTCCACGCTCAAGCAGCTCGGCCCTATGCGTATGTGTACACGTGTAGACGCGTGAGCGTTAAATTCGTGTGTACGGGAGCGTTGGGGATGCCGTGGAACAACCGCAACACTGAGCTGACCAGCAAGTAAACCCCCCGTCCCCATTTGCAGCAACATACACACACTTCAAGCACACGTGTCAACAAAACCGCAACTGACTTGAGGGCGTCGTGTGCGTCGAGGAGATAGTGTGTGTCCGCCTGTGCATACACGCACATGTCCGCGGGGAGCGGACGAATTCGCCAGTCGGAGAGTTGGTGGCGCTTGTCCAGCGACAGGTGAAACAGGTGTTTGAGCAGATACGCCAGCGAGTACTTTGGGTACCCGAGCACACGCATGGCCTGGCAATCGAGAAGTGGGACGTGCATGGGTGTGTGCATGTATGTGCATGAATTTGTGTGATGTGTGCGCGTGCGTGTGTAACAGTGAGTGAGTCGGTGTGAAACGATGCGAATGCGCGAACGCAAAAACCAACCACAGTGTTACAAACAAACAAACAAACAAACAAACAAACAAACAAACAAACAAACAAACAAACAAACAAACAAACAATGTAGAGGCCGTGGTCGCGCTGCAGCCACAGGATGTCGCTGTCCGCACCGTGAAGCACCTGGTGATGGCCATGGTGGTGTGGACGGTGGGGATTAGCGAGGAGCGTGGGGGCCGATGCAAGCCAGACAGAGGCATGCGGAGTTACAGGAACAGTGGGGGCCGATGCAAGCCAGACAGAGGCATGCGGAGTTACAGGAACAGTCACACACACACATAGTCACACACAGTCACACACACGCGCACACACACAAAGCACACAGTCACACACAGTCACACACACACACACACGCACACACACAAAGCACACAGTCACACACAGTCACACACACACACGCACACACACACAAAGCACACAGTCACACACACGCACACACACACAAAGCACACAGTCACACACACAAGCATTCGTTGAGGACCTCCAGATGGCCGCGCAGTGCGAGTGTGTCAATGAGGAAATCGCGTGTGCGCGTGGACACCTAGTGTGTCAATGAGGAAATCGCGTGTGCGCGTGGACACCTGGCAGCACAGCCGCATCGTAGCATGTGGTGGTTGGTTATGGTGGTGATTGTGGTGGCGCATGCGGTGGCGGCGGCGGTGGTGGTGGTGAGGCGAATGGCGGCAGCGTGTTTTGATAGGGCAGGAGCGAATAGGGCAAAGTTTTCGGAACAACAGCCAGCAAGCAGCTAACAACAAATACGAACTGACCACACACACACACACACACACACACACACACACACACACACACACACACACACAGCGTGGCTGACCTGCATGAGACAGGTGAAACCCTGGTAGGAGCGGACGTTGTGCGCCTCAAGATCAACCGCCACTTCGCGCTCGCCCTTCAATGCCGACAGCACATCCTGCAACGCGTCACACCACACCGACAGCGCGTGTGTGTGCGTGTGTGCGTGTGCGATTGAAGATGGCAACACAGTGTCAGAGGAGCAAACCTCACGGGTCGTACACAGTTTGTACACAGCACAACAGAGACAGAGAGGGACGAGAGAGAGGGACGAGAGAGAGGGACGAGACAGACAGACAGACAGACACACAGACAGACAGACGGACACTCGCACACAAACAGACACTCACACAGACGCACACAAACTGAGACCGACCTGGAGTTGGTCGACGGTGTTGACGAACGTGGCCGGGTTGTTTGCGCACTCGTCAATAGAGCGCTTCTGGCGAATGTTCGCGGCATCGGCCACCGGCTGCAGCGCAAACGCCGGCGGCTGGCACCATCATCATCATAATCATCATCATCATCATCATCATCATCATCATCATCATCATCATCATCATCATCATCATCAACAACAACATCATAATCATCATCATCATCATCATCAACAACAACAACAACAACAACAACAACAACAACAACAACAACATCATCATCATCAACAACAACAACAACAACAACAACAACAACAACAACAACAACAACAACAACATCATCATCATCATCATCAACAACAACAACAACAACAACATCGTGGTGATGGTCGTGAGGATGATGAGTTTTGGGACGGGTGACACAGGCAGTGCAGCAGCTAGACCATGGCGCAGGTGCTCCCCTCCTCTCCAAAAGCAAACACATACGCCCGATTCATGTCCATCTTGAAACCACGACCCGCTCTTTCGTTCCAAATTCCCGACAATACGCCCTCGCCCCCAACATACACACATGCACACACCCACACACACATGCACATGGACAAGAACCCAGCGGCTACCTGGAATGCGCGGAGCTCGTGTTCGTAAGGGTGCTCGTAATACACGACCGTCTCCTCCTCATCGTCGCCCGCGCCAGCAGGGGCAGCAGCTGTGCCGGGCCCGTGCACACGAATCGCCTGCAGGTTGAGGTCTCGCATGGCGTGCGGCTTTCGCGTGAGTTTGGGGCGAAATGGCGTGGATGTGTTGTCGATGGCGTCGGTGAACAGCAGCTGCGGGCGCGCAATGTTCGTTGCTTGTAGCACACGCATGCCTGGCGCTGTCTTGTTCCAGGAGCCAGCACCAGCACCAATGGAGACCGTGTGCACGGCGTGCTTGCCCAGCCGGTGTTCGAGGGCTGCGCTCGCACGGTTCGCGCCACGCTTGTCGTCCAGGAACATGCTCTGTGGATCGGCAGAGTATTGGGCGGAAGGGCGGGGGCGTGAGGTTGAGTGTCGGTGTTGGAGCGTGGTGCAGCATAGTTGGGGGTGTGCAGGTCACGCAGGCTGATTGATGGAGGCAGAAAGAATGGAGAAAGGACGCGGAGAGCGAGCTGTAGAAAGAAAGAGATATGGACAGCAAGCGAGCCAGGCACCAATGCACACACAAACGCACACACGCACGCACATACAAGCTGACACGCATGCACACGCATGTACACACACACACACACACAGTCATATTTAGCATTGGCGATAAACTCACCACACGCTCCATGCAGAGGTCGTTGATCTCTGTTAGATATGACATCTGCTCGTCCATGTCATCGCGGGACCAGCCTTCAAGGTGGCCGTGTTCAAGCTTCGCCAAGCCCTCGATCCTGTGTCCCAGCGAGCACAGTCCATGTACAAAGATATGAATGAACGTTCAGCAGCGAACAAAATCCAACACCTACAACACCATACGCACACGCACGCGCGCGCACACACACACACACACACACACACACGCATGCATGGAGCCGTTGCCATTTCCATTTCGGCTGCATGCTTGATGGCAACGAACAACATACTGGCGGAGGAGGCGCTGCTGCAAGTCACGCGTCTTGGTCTTAAACTCTGGGATTGTGGAGAAGTACAGGTGGTCATCGCCCTACGAGCATGTCACCACGGTCGGAATCACGTGAGTTCACAACGCAGCGCAAGCAAGCCATCCATGCAAATGTTCTTGCGCACCCACATGACGCCAAGCTTATGTTGTGCGCTCGCCTCTTGTCATCACTGCCATGTTACCTTTGGCACTTGGACGCTGGCCTTGACAGCAGGAACCAAGCTCTGGAACATTGCCTAAGCATGATGACCATGGGGATGATGGTTATAGTGAGATCACCCATCAACACGCACCACGAGTGATGCAACGCCCGCAATCGTCGATTGACTCGCACACACACACGCACACATGCACACACACATGCACACATGCACACACAGATGCACACAGATGCACACATACACATATGCACCTGCTGTAGGTCTTCAAACGTGGAGAAGCTCGGCAGCAGCTGCTGTTGAAGCTGGCGCTGCTCGCCTTCCCCATCGCCTGTGTTGTCGCTCATGCTTTCCGCTTGCTTCCTGTGTTGTGCACGAGGGAGGGTTGGTAAAATGCTGAATTTACCAACAGCACAGTGTAATTTGCCACCGGTGGTAAAAAAGCAACGAGCGACTACCGCGGATTTTGTGTGCTGCGCCCAGGCATTATTCGCGCATTGTTAAAATCAAACCCCCCTGCTGCTAGTGCTCCTCTTCACACTGCTGGCGCTGCTGTGTGCACTCTTTGACACCCAGCACCACCCGCGACCCATTGTTGTGGCTGCTGTTGCCGACCGCTGCACGGTCACAGCCCTCTTCTTCGTCCCCTGCTTACCCTGGCAGTCCACGCTGCTGTCGAGTTCACACACACTTGCCCCACCCCGCGCAACTCTTCTCTCCTCTCTTGGAGTTTCTGTTCATCCCTGTTCCCTGTCGCTTGCTCACCTTGACGATGGCGCGCGTGGTGGGCCTGGACGTGCTAGCGCCGATGGTTCTGGTGGCATGCTCGCTGATCGCAGTCTCGGTTTCCGCACAAGCACCAACAAGATCAGGTAACGCGTCTCAATGAACACACTCTGACCTTCCCCCTGGGCCGCATCGCCCTTCTTGTTGAGCATTGTTCTTTTCCAACATCCACAACAGCCACGCACCATGCAAAGACATCTCCTGGCCTTGGTACAGCGTACACACACACACACACACACACACACACACACACACACACACATACACACACACATACACACACACTACGCACACCAACGCGCGGGTGGATAGCGCGCTGAAACGCAGTTGCTGATCATCGATCCATACGCTAATCACCACACTTCAAAACACACACACACACACACGCACACACACTCTCTCGCACATGGCGCACGTCACATCACTCTCTTGCCCCTGCAGAGTTCATTGTACGAAACGACACGAGATGCGACCATCACATGGCACTGCACTCGCTGTCGCGCGATGCCCTCGACCAATGCCAGAGGTTGTGTGAGAAGGATAAGCAGTGCACTTCCTTTTCCCTCAACGACAAAACAGGGGAATGCTTTCTCTTTGGCGAGGACGCATCGTGTCATCAAGCTCTGATGTGGACATCTGGATTCAAAGGTGCATGGGCGCGTGCGTATGTGTGCGGGCATTTGTGTGTGTGTGTTGTGTGTGTGTTGTGTGTGTGTTGTGTATGTGTGTGTGTTGTGTGTGTGTTGTGTGTGTGTGGGCAATCGTCTAACTTGTGTGGCATACGTGTACACAGCCGATGCAGTGCCAAGATGTGTTGTATGGCACCGCACCTACGTCGCTGTGTCCGTTGATCGTGCACAGTCGTTGCGGCTGTGTGTCCTTGTGCAATTCCCCAACTGTTGCTCACAACTCCTTCATTTGTCGTCACGGTGCATGCGTGTGTGTGTGTGTGTGTTCGACACAGACACGCGGGCTGTGCGAGCTGTGGAAGGCAGCGTCGCTCGCATGTCCTGTCCCAAAGGAATGTACATCAGCAACGTCAAGGCCAAGTTCAACGCTCCAGGGTGCACTGCCCACGACGTCAGCGACATTGTGCAGGACCTTTGCTTGCAGCAACAAGCGTGTGCTGTCTCTGTTGCTCGTGAGCTCTTCCTCGTGAACCCAGAGTGCAAAGGCACCTTCGTCCTCTCCGCAGCAGCTTCTTGCGAAGGTGGGAATGAACGTTTTGTGGTTGAAGGGAGCCAACGTCAGGCACGTGCCAGTCATATGCACCATGTGCCAAACATCATGTGTCTCGTGAACCCCATCACCAAACACACAAGCACACACACACACACACAAGCACACACACACATACACAAACACACACAAGCACACACACATACACAAACACACACAAGCACATACACACACACACAAGCACACACACACAAGCATATACGTACACGAGCACACTCGCCTCACCCATACCCATCACCAATGCCATCACCAATGCCATCACCAATGCCATCACCACACCATTGCACTGCCTTTTCTTCCAGCTGGCGTGGCGTTTTATGAGGACGAGCACTTTAGCAGCTGGAGCAGTGCCAACTGGGACGCTGCACGCGCTGTTGTCGATGACAGGAGAGCAGAGTGGAAGCAGTACCTTGAGAACGTGCCTACTTACCCTGAAGGCAAGTACCGTGGCCGCGGTATCATCATCGTTGCCGGCGGCAGGTACCTCGCCTCTGCCCTGGTCTCCGTCAAGATGCTGCGCGACCTTGGATGTACGCTGCGCATCCAAATCTGGCACCTGGGCCCGGAGGAGGTTGACGCTGCTCAGCGGGAGGTGCTGGCTGCGTACGACGTTGAGCCGCGTGACTTCACCGCCGTTGTTCCACCAGAGCTGCTGAAGCCCATTGAAAGCAACGTCGGCATGCGCCTCTTCCAGCTCAAACCGCTAGCGCTGCTGTACTCTGACCTGCAGGAGGTGCTCCTCATCGACTCTGACAACACGCCCCTCATGGACCCGACCTACCTCTTCTCGGAGCAGGGGTTCCAGGACACGGGCACCGTGTTCTGGCCAGACTACTGGAAGACGAGCTTCGACAACCCCATCTGGGCCATCCTGGGCATGGAGCCCAAGGCCATGTGGGAGCAGGAGAGCGGGCAGCTGCTCATCAACAAGCGGGCGGCGTGGCGCGGCCTCAACCTGTGCGTCCACTTCAACAGCGCCTTCTACATGGGGCTCATCAACGGCGACAAGGATACCTTCCGCTTCGCATGGCTGGCAGCAGGTGTCCCTTTTGTCATGAACTCGTGGATGCCCAGCGCCGTCGGCACCGTCAAGGAGCGCCACTCTGACACGGACCTTGGCTTCTGCAGCCACACCATGCTGCAGCACGACCTTCAGGGCAGGCCCCTCTTTGTCCACCACAACCAGCTCAAGCACGCGCAGCTGCCGCTTGGCGAGAATTTCCGCTACATGAAGAGCCTGCGCGGTGTCAACGCCCGCGTGCTCCCTGTCGCGGGCCTGGACGTGAACGGCGCCGTGTTGCCGTGCAACGACGTCATCAGCGGAGAGCTTCCCTTGGCCAGCAGCGGCGCCACCTCCGCCGAGCCGACGGGGCTGGGTGCGTTTGAGGTGCGCTACTTTGCTGCCACCTATCACATTGCCGCTCAGCTCGAAGAGGCAGTCGCTCGCATCGGCACCGGCACCGTGGCCGCTACGCAGCAACAACGGCAGCAGCCAACAGCAGGAGCAGAAGCAGCAACGCCAGGTGCACAGCTTGCAGGATTTGGTGAGGCGGAGAGCCTCCTGATCCGCGATCGCCGCGTCACATCGGACAACGTCACCACCAACTGCAACGTGGGCGAGTTTGAGCTTGCCCCGAATGTGTGCGAGTACATCACCGCGTGTGAGGCTGACCAGGTCGAAATGAGCGCTCCCACTGCGACCTCTGATCGCGTGTGCGAAGCCGGCCCAAGTTACGTCGACCCCATCCTCCAGACCATCACTGTCACTAGCGATGGCGCGGCGTTCAACCTTGCCGCAGACGGCCAGGCTGCACAGGCTGCACCCGCCATTACTGTGAGCCAGGGCGGCCGGTACCTGTTCCAGTTGTCCAGCGTCCCAACATCGTCCAGCTTCGTGATTGAGGACGGGGCCGGGGCAACCGTCGCTGGCCCTGCAACCGAGGATCAGGGCGTGCAGCTGCAGCCGGGCGAGCTGGGCGTGGAGTTCACCTACTACGACGGCACAGGCTCGCTCACGGGTAACACCATCACCGTGGACACGACCACCAGCTACTCGCTGCAGTACTCCGGGTATCACGGCACACATACAGGGCCATATCAGCGATACAACACCGCCTACGACCCGAGCAATCACCTGTTCACCCGCGACGTGTTCAGCCTGACGAGCAAAGGGTTTTCCGCGGCGCGCACAGAGTGCAGGGTGGCATGCAGCCAGGACTCCGCCTGCACCGGGTTCTACGTGTATGTCACAGACACGAAGACGGTCTGTCATGGGCTTGCATACCTCGGTGAGCCCACTGACACTTTGGCAGACAGTGAGAGCTGGATCAAGGTCACCCAAGTGAACTAGCTTGCTTGTTGCCAAACGCGTAGGTTGCTTGGTTTGCCTTGGTGCACATGGTGAACGCCCTCCGTCGATGGAAGGTTGTGACAAAAGGTGCTTGGTCACCTGTAATTGTGGCTGTGTGTGTGTGTGTGTGTGTGTGTGTGTGTGTGTTAGCTGCGATGTTGGCGCGTTGGATTGGTTGCGATAAGTGGACTCGGCATGCATGTTCATTCGTGTGCGGGATATTTTAGTGGCTTCCTGAAGCGACGGCTAGTGTCTTCAGGCTTGCCCGACGGTTGCGAGGAGTTTGTGTGTGTGTGTGTGCGCGTGTGCGCGTGTGCGTGTGTGCGTGTGCGTGTGCATGTGTGTTTGTACAACGCACACGTGCTATCATGTACACATGTGTGTGCTGGTGTGTTACACTTACACATTTCTTTCATTCTTTGATTTGTAGCGAAGGAGAGGGAGGGGCGGGAAGAAGGGCAAGAGCGAGAGGCAGTTGTACATTTGTCAGCCTGTTGATTGCTTGTTGTGTGGCCAGGTTGTTCCTGGTGACCATGTACTCATGTCAGATGTGCACAGCAAAAGCCAAGAACGAAAGACAAGAAACGAAACAGAAACGAACGCAAGAATGAGACATGGCATGAATGTGATACCGTGTGAACCCAAAGCACACACACACACACACACACACACACACATATCCACACACACACACACACACATCCACACACACACACACACACACACACACACACACACACACACACACACACACACACACACACACACACACACACACAACGGGTTCAGCAACCTGCTCACACAAAACAGATGCAAAGCGCGACGCGTATCAACGTGATGAGAGTACCCAGCTCATTTTGAAACACGACAAGATAAGCAAGGCCATGGAAGGGGCACCACCACTATCGCTCCTGCGAGTCGAGCCATCGCGAGCGGCCCGTCAGCGATCGACACAGGTTGCGCAATGTGGTGTCGAGGTCTGGTGTCACCCAGTGCTGGGCGCCGTGTGTTGGGTGGGGCTCAGTCACGTCGTTTGAATCGACAAAGATGAGGGGGCTTTCCGAGATGGGAGGCTCGCTGTGCTCCTTCGACTGCCCAGAGCCATGCTTCGTGCCTGTTCCTGTGGGCTGCGGCGACGTGTGACCCGTGCTCGCTGCGCCACCGCCACCACGTCCAAGCTGCTGATTTGATGCACTCCGCCCAGTGCCACCAAGCGCAGATGCACGACCGATGCTGCTGGTGTTGTTGTCGTTGTTGGTGGCGGGGTTATTGTGGCCTGTGCTCGTGCTGTCCACGGCCGCGTTGCTGCTACGGTGCTGCCCACCACCACCGCCGCCACCACCACCACTACCACTGTTACTGCTTGTTGTTGCGACTGCACCATGGTTGGTCGTGGACGTGGTCGCTGCATTCGCCACGCTGCTGCCGTTGTTGTCCGTGCCGCCGCCACTGCCACCGTTGCTGGTGCTATTGGGCGCAGCGGGTGCTGTTGATGATGACGACAATGGGCGGTCTGTCTGCGTTGCTGCCGGGCCGTCGCTGGTTGCTTTCGCTGCTGCTTGCGTGGATGTGCTCGAAGTGTTGTGACCCGAGCTCGCTCCCGCCTCTCCTTGGACACCATCATCATGCGGATGTTGGCTTTGTTGTGCGTCCGAGGTTACCTCAGCATCGCCACTGCGTTGTTGTTCTTGCTGTGCACGATCGTGGTCTGTGCCGTCCTGTGTTCCATCACCTTGCGACGCACCGCCTTTGGTTTGCTGCTGTTGCAATGCTTCCAGTGCACGTGTTTCCTCCTGTTCAGCGCGCTCATGCCGTAGCGCCAAGTACGCGTGCTCCGCCATGCCCATCACAACACCTGCACACTCCACATACGACAGCTGGTTTCGCAGCACGTGGGCAAGCGAGTCCATGTTGAGTGGACGTAAGCGGAAAAGGGAGTGGAAGTGTGGCATAAACATTGGGAGAAGAAGAAAAAGGCATGAGCGATGCGTGTATATATATATATACATATATGTGCGTGCGTGCGTGCGTGTATGTTTGTATGTGTGTGTGTGTGTACGTGGAAGAGGGGGATGCATACCTGGTGTTTGGTGTTGAAGTGTTCGCAAATGGGCGGATGAAGGTCCTCCAGCAGCTGTTGAGCGGCGACAGAGGCGTTGCGGATGCGTGAACATGTGTCAATCAGTCTGTGACGCACTGAACAATTCGCAGTGCATCCTCCACACAGGCAGGCAGCCAGACAGGCAGGCAGGCAGACAGACACACCCACATACGAGACAGACGTGCCAGGAACTGTTTGCACTCACGCCTCGGACGTCGGTGAAGGTGAGCAGGCGACCAAGCACGTGGTTGCGACGGCACGAGTGCAGGAGCGTGCGAACAGTCACACAAGCATCAGCCGCAGCCATCTGCCCAGCAAAACACACACCAACACACACACGCAAACAAAAGAGCACACGGATGCGCGCATGAATGAGTGCATGCGGGTGAGTGAAAGGTAGCATGTGTCGACGAAATAATTGAGCGTGCGTGTGTGCATCATGAGCGTTCATGAACACCGCAAGCTGTGCACATTTGAACTGCAAGCAGTTGCATCCAAGTTCTTACATCGAGGGACGACAGGCCGTAAACCACGTCGTGAAGAGGATCCCAGTGGTTTCGGAACAGCTGCTGCTTCACGCTCGTGTTCAGTGCGAGGCCTAAGCCACAGGTGCAGTCACGAAGGGTGTGTGTGTGTGTGTGATGGGAATAACGGGCCAATGAAGCAAGTGTGACAAGGAGGGCACGAGGCAGAGGGAAAAAGGACACAGAGCTCATTCACTTCACGCTCGCACTCGATTCACACAGGCAGGTACAGCAATACTAACAGACAGACAGAGACAGAGCCAGAGACACACACAGATACAAACACAGACAGACAGACAGACACACGACAGCCAAGCCACACTGCCGACCTTGAATAGTGCAGGCGCGAGGGAAGAGGTCCTCTGTGAGGAATCGACTGAAGCAGTCAGCAAGCGCAGCAGCAGAGCCCTTGAAGCGGCTGCTGTACAGATGGAAGCTGGCACGCACGAGCATGGAGAGAAAGTGGCGTGGCAACAGCTTATCCTGTTCGCGCTGCTCCGCTCGCCACGGCCACTCCACATCGCCTGTGATGCGTCGTGTGTGTGTGTGCGTGTGTGTGTGCGTGTGTGTGTGTGTGTGTGTGTGTGTGTGTGCGTGTGTGTGTGTGTGCGAATGAATACACCAACTCGCACACTACTGTCGCCTTCACCCCAACAACCGTCGTCATCATCACCACCACTACGACGAAGACCACAAGCAGGTAGGAATGCGTCCCAGGTTCTCGCACCGAGAGCAGTCTGCAGTGCGGCCATTGTGACTTTGTGGCGCTGCAGCTGACAGTCGAGAAACACTTGGTGGAGCTGCAGTACACGCGCACATGTGTGCGTGTGAATGTCACGTGGTGAATCGAACATGGGCACGATGTATGCATGCGTGCTGCGTGCTGTGTGCACAGTCATTGTTGAGTGTGCTACACCCACACTTGATGGCAGACGTGTGTGTGTGCATGATGTTGAGCAAACTCGTGTTGAACAGGGCATCTGTGCCGTACTTGGAAGCGTTTGAGAATGTAGACATTATCGCATGCGACAGGCACGGCAATCTTGGAGTAGAAATGGTACACGCGACGCAGCAGGCTCATGTTCTGCAGCACAACATTCGTGATCTGATGGTGGTGGTGGCAGTGGTTGTGGAGGAGGTGGTGGTGGGCACGGCGTGAATAATTGCTGAGGCGAAGAAGCCGACACTCGACATGAATACCATCACACACATGCACTGGTACGTTCATGCACAGGTAGTTAATGCACACACACACACACACACACATACACATACACACACACACACACACACACACACACACACACACACACACACACACAAAAATGCATTCAGTCGTTTGCACACCTGCTGGTCGCCAAATGCGTTGTCTTCGCCATGCAAGTCTTCAAATGCAGGAATGAAGGTTGCATAGCACTCTTCATCAAGCTCTGACGTCAGGCGATCATCCTTGAATTCAAGGCGCCGCTGAACGCCGTTTGGAAACGTCATCGTGTGCTGTACACATGTCCAACCGTGCACGTGTGTGTGTGCATGAGAGTGGCAATAAGCATGGGTGTATACGCTCGTTACACACGTGTGTGAGTGTGTGTGTGTGTGTGTGTGCATATGTACAATGCAGATGAGACTGAGCGTGATTCAACAGGAAAACAGCATTTCATGAATATGGTGGCGTGCATATGGGGTGTGGCTGACATACCGTGCCGTGCTTTGTGTTGTAGTGCCACGTGCCCTGAAGAATGGCACCACTGTGTCGTTGGAGGAGCAGTGAATGCAATGAAAACAAAAGCGTGCGCGTGTGTGTGTGAGAGCAAATACGGGCATGTGTGCGCCTTCAGTAGACCAGAGTGCGGACAAAGAAGTCACTCCACGCAGAGACATAAAACAGAGAAAGGGACAGGCATAGGATGATGGAAGCGGGGCATCGCACACACACTAAATAAAACATGTTCAAACACACAGACGGACGGACAGACGGACACACATACATCCACAGATAAACACACACACAGACACACAGGCACACGCACACAGATAAACACAGACACACAGACACAGACGCACGCACACGCACGCACACTGTACAAAGGCTTACTCTGCGAAGAAGAAAGTGCCCTGCCCGTGACGTCTGCCGTGCTCAAAGTGTCCCTCGTAACTGTTGCGGCACACGTACTGCGAGCCATCAATCCGCTCCTGTATCCACGTGTACCGGCCAGTGCCGTGGGGGGCGTTGTTCGCCCACGCACCATCATACTCCTGCAGTACCAGCGGTGGTTGCAGATGAGTGGTGGTGAGAAGGAATGAAGGGGACTTCGTGCTTGGGGGCATGGGTGCACATCTCATTCATGGCAGATGTGTGTGTGAGTGTGTGTGTGTGTGGGGGGGGGGGCGGTGGCCTAAAACAATGAAGCAGGTGTGGAATGTCAGCAGCACGCCTTGATGTTGTGGCACGACCCCCTACCTCGTTCTTGTTGGTCCAGATCATTTTGCCGCGGCCGCTCTTGATACCGTTCTCCCACTCGCCCTCATACACGCTGCCGGACCTGTGCACACGTGCGCATGGCGGGGTGTGTGCGTAAAAGCGTAAATGTGAGTGAGTGAGTGAGTGAGTGAGTGAGTGAGTGAGTGAGTGAGTGAGTGAGTGAGTGAGTGAGTGAGTGAGTAAGTGAGTGAGTGAGTGAGTGAGTGAGTGAGTGAGTAAGTGAGTGAGTGAGTGAGTGAGTGAGTGAGTGAGTGAGTGAGTGAGTGAGTGAGTGAGTGAGAGTGTGTGTGCACATGTGTGCGTCTCATGACCCCCCCCCCCTTGTGCTCAATAACACGTGTGACCCTCAACCCATTTTCGGCGCACACACAGCAACTACTTACGGGTACACCATTTTGCCGCGACCACAGGGCCTGTTGTTCACCCACTCTCCCTCGTACACCTGGCCATTTCCATAGTCAAGCCGCCCCTGCAGTTGACAGGACACAGGCGTAAGGCAGCACATCAACGGTTTGAGCGTTACGGCGTTGGCGAGAGCACTCATTGGAGTGTAGCAGGATGCAAATATCACAGCACACATCGTGCGCGCAAGGCGGCTTGTGCGCGTCACCACAGCACATCGTGCATGTCGACACCCCTTCTCCCGGACACACATATGCGTGTGAGTATACCAACCGTTCCGTGGCGCAGACTGTTGTGCCACTGCCCTTGGTATATCGCACCAGACGCAAGCGACAACGTTCCCTGGCCGTGCCTCAACCCACGGTTTACTTCCCCAACGTAGGTGCTGCAGTGTTTAAGGTATGGACGACAGCAATGAATAAACCAAACGTCAATTGCGGGGGGTGTTGGTGAATACAGGCGGTGGCGAGCGCCGTGGTGTCAGCAAGACAAAGCCATAGCCATGATCAATTCAAGTCCACACACACACACACACACACACACACACACACACACACACACACACACACACACACACACACACACACACACACGCACACGCACACACACACATGCATAGTGCACGAACGCACCTGCCGTCCGGCCATGTGTAAGTGCCGCTGCCTTGGATGAGGTTGTCCACAAAGGTGCCCGTGTACGTGACACCATCCACCCACGAGAATGTCCCGTTGCCGTGCAACAGACCAGAATCAAAGTCACCCTGGATCCCAACACACGGTGACATGATTGTGTGAGAGAGTTGTCGGTCAGGGAATGCAAGCCACACGGGCACCTTAGCAAGAAGAGCTGGCCCATACGCGAGCAAGGGCACACAGATGACGCAGGCTTATGCGCCAGCACAAGCAACCATTCGCACGATGTACACGCTTTTTCCCTTCCTCGACCAGAATGGCATGTTCAACGTTCGCACAACCTCGTAGGTGTTGCCTGTGGAGAAGGTAGCCTTGCCCTTGCCATGATACAAGGAGTTCTCCGTGTCGCCTTCGTATTGGGAGACGACGAGCTTCGCCAGCGTGGGATCAAATGGGTACAACACGTCTTTTGTCTCGAACGCCGAGTCCTCCATCATGCCTGGTGTTGTGATGGGGATCGTGTTTATCGGCGCTGTCGTCGCAGTCTTGGGTGTGCCAGGCACTTCATCATCCACGTTGTCCATTTCCGCCACATCCCCGTCCTCCCCAACACGGCTCACATCATCTTTGTCCTTGTCCTTGTCCTTGTCTTTATCTTTGTCCTTGTCTTTATCCTTGTCCCTTCCCTTGTCCCTCCTGCTCTTTCCACTCGTCATGCTCGCTCGTGTGATGATGTGTTGGTGGTGGAGTTGTGTTCTGTTGGTGGGGGTTGTGCTGTTGTCTCCTCTGGTTGCTTGTTCTGCTGTTTGCCAGTTGCCAAGTTGTGAAGAATTGCAATACTGCCCGTCACTTTTCGCAGCAATCCTGTGTGTGTGTGTGGACTGAGCACAAACACACAGAAACAAGTGTGCAACCGAGCACACACCTCACGGCACCACCTCTCACACATCGACCTCAACACCACACGCATTCTCGTCCTGTTCACCTCGCCTTCCAAGCAGCCCTTGGCCTCAGTGACGCGCGACGAGCCAGTCAGTCACCAGTTTGACACCGATTTGGCACACCTTTGGTCGGCACAACAATGGGCTGGACGCTGCGGATCCGGTACAGTGGCAGTGTGCAGCAGTTGCATGACGTGGACGAAACCGCATCCCTGCAGGCGCTGCATGATCGCATTGCCGCCGCCGTTGGCGTGCCTGCAGAGTCCATGCGCCTGCTTGCCGGGTTCCCGCCACGGCCACTGGCAAGCGCTGATGATGTAGCCACAACGGAGAAGCCATTGACAGAGATACCGGGCCTCAGCAACTGCACCACGTTGGTCGTGACACAGCCGCCACAACAGCAGCAACAGCAGGAGCAGCAAGGCGATGAGCACAGCAGCGGCGGCGCCGACGCTGCTTCGCGTGCAATTGCAGCGCGTGCAGCAAAGGCATCACGGGCCCGGGACGGCGCAGGCAAAGGTGGAGGTGGACCTGGACGTGGGCGTGGGCGTGGCGGCAAGCCAACAGCGAGTGAAGAACAGGCAGACGCGCTCTCGTGGCAGGATGGGCTCGCAGACGACCTCATCAAGGCTGTGGACGGCAACGCCGTGACAGCGTCCCTGCGCGACCTTCGACAAAGCGTCAAGGACATGATGCTGAAGGCTCAGGCGCAGCGTCGGGCGTACGACCGGGAAACGGCTGCGCGCGGCGGCACACACGAGATTGGCGACGTGCCCGGCGAGTTTACGCTGAGCGGCATCTCGCGGCGGTTCCGCGTCACGTTCCCCATTGGTCGACGCAAGACGGCGCACGAGGACTACCCGAAGCTGCCCGCCATCATCATCGGTCACCTCTTCACGCAGCTGTCGAGGCACCCTGACCACCGGGAGAACCTGCGGCCGTTCAACATGGCGCTGACATCGCCCAACGTGTTCTGGAACGTGGTGCGGCTCAAGGACGAGACAGGGGAGGCGGCTGCCAACATGGACCTGGAGGAGTATGTGCAGTCGCTGGCGCCGGGTGCAGACTGGTCCTTTCTGCGGCACCGCGTGCGCAACATGTCTGCGAAAGCTCTCGAGAACAAGCGGATGGCCGACGAGCGGAAGAGGCGGAGAGAGGCGCGGCAGGCCAAGGCGAAGCGAGCAAAGGCACAGGCCGACGATGGCGACGATGGTGATGACGGTGGTGACGACGGTGACGAGGACGACAATGATGGTGGTGGTGAAGCTGTTGTGGGTGACGAACAGGAGACAGGCACGGCCGATGACGATGCTGTTGTGGTCGTGGACTGATAAACGAACGCGAGAATGTGTGTGTGTGTGTGTGTGTGGATGAACGGAGAAGTGTTTGACTTCTTGGGTTTTTCTGCTTCCCCGTGGTTGAATTGTGATGAACGGAGAAGTGTTTGACTTCTTGGGTTTTTCTGCTTCCCCGTGGTTGAATTGTGTTCATTTCGTCGACAACACATGCGCCCTCTCTATGAAACGAAACCGAGCAAAAAGTAAACAACTCCAACGTCACAACAACAGCACCAGGAACCAAACGAACACAGCATGCAAGGGCTATGAAAGAGCATTCTCTGTTAACAGCAAAGCAAGCAAGCAACACCAAGCCTGAGTCGACCCTCACCACGTGTTTCAGAATGCGTTGTGTGTGTGTATGTGTGTGTGTGTGTATGCGTGTGTGTGTGCACGCGTCACCACTCCGTCTCCTGGTAGTCCTTGAGGAAGATGCCATGCATGGGCTCAAAGGAGGGGTCACTCGCCCGCCCCTGCACCCCCATGAACACGGGATCAACAACACGCGCAGCCGCATCAACCTGCGGTGATTGTGGTCGTGGTGGTGTGTGATGGTCGAAGGTGAGAGCACGCTTGAAATGGTGTGTACACATGACAGCGAAGACAGCACAAGCCCATGAGACATACCACAACATCACACGGCACGACAAAATTACAGCGACAGCACAACACAAACACCCCACACAGCCCCAGCCCCAGCCCTCCAATAACACCACGCCACGACGAAACAAGCGCTTCTCCACATCCAACCACCACCGGCCCCCGCCAAACGTTATCTCGCTGCACCTCGTCAATGGGTGTCTGGAAGTTGTGCGCCTGTGCAATGCGGGCAGCGCGAGCAACAGGGTTCTCGTCGTTGATCCAACCCGTGTCAACAGCCGTCATGTAGATGCCCTTCTGCTCCGGCGTGGGGGAGTTGGGGAGGGTGTGTGTGTGTGCATATGTGTGGGCATATGTGTGCATATATGTGTGCATACGTGTGAGCGTAACCACAGCAATTACATACAGAAGAGAGGGTAGGAAACATGTCACGCATACACAGACACACACACACACACACACACAGACACAGACACAGACACAGACACAGACACAGACATACGGCACGTGACTTGAGCAATGCGAATGGCTGCACCTTTGCGAGGTCGGCGGCGGACGTGCGGGTCATCATGTTGAGTGCGGCCTTGGCCATGTTCGTGTGCGGGTGGTTTGGTGTCTTGTATCGATAGAACTTGCCTTCCATCGCGCTCACATTCACAATGTACCGGTCGCTCTGGTGATGTGCGCGCGTGTCAATGTATGTGCATGCGTGTGTGTGTGCGTGTGCGTGTGCGTGTGCGTGTGCGTGTGCGTGTGCGTGTGAGTACGAGGCACAACTATCAGTGCAAATTGACGTGTTGTCTTTGGGTGCTTGCACGTATGCAGGCAGTTCCACAACCCCACTGCTTCACGTTACACCACAAACGCCAGAAACAACATGTGCACACCCACACCTACATGCACGTATATATTCACAAACACACGTTCACAAACACACATACACACATATACACATATACATTCACACACGTGTTTTGATTTGAGGAGGTGGTCCTGTAGCCGCCCGTTGATGATGAATGGCGAAATGGCGTTCACAGACATCACCTGGCGACATTCGTTGAGGGGAGGGGTTGGTGGCAGCGGTGTTGAGGTGAGACAGATGAAATGAATGAAGGAATGATAGGCCGAGGGACACGTACATATGATTGCAGTGGTTCACTATCCGACAGGTCTACAAACACGTCATGTGCCCGTCGTCACCATGATTGCCATCACCGTGATCGCACTCATCGCCACCGCTGATGCACACGCATTCACCTCAATCATCTCCGGTGTTGTCACTTGTCCAATCTTCAGCAGCCAGCTGTTGTCAGGCGATATGGCATGATGCGAGTGGTGTTGTGGTTCGCAGGCACGCACGGTGGTTGTCGATGTGAGCCCAGGTGAAGGCGTAGGTAGTTGGGATAAGGAGGAGGGTCAATGTGTGATGAAGGTCTGAGAAGAGCACACCCAGACACAGACACAGACACAGACACAGACCCAGACACACCCACACACAGACACACACACGCACACACACACACACACACAGACACAGACAAACCGCGTTCACCTGTTTGTGTCACGGAGGTCGATTTGCTGTTCATTGACGTCTTCAAGGCCTTGAGGGAACAACTGCGACAAGTTGGCTTTCGCCGCAACACTGTCATTACCGCTGCCAGTGCTGTTGTCGTTGCTGCTGTTGTCAGCGCCATCACCATTGTAGCTGTTGTTGTTGTTGTTGTTGTCACTGTCGTGCTGGGCGTGTGCGTGGTGTTCGGCTGCGAGCTGTGACGCCAGCGGTGCAATGTACGCAGGAACATCGCGCCCACTGCCAGCCGCTGGTGCCGTCACTGTCGTCATGGCTGTGGCGGGCGTGGACGGTGATGGGGTGGTGGTGGAGCTTGGTTGGCTGGTGGGCAGGTGGACCTGGCAGGGGTGTCAGTGACGCGATTGGAAGTGCATCAGGTGAGGTGTTGAAGCACGGTATGATGGTGTGATGCACGAGAGGACACGAGGGAGTACACGGGAGAAGCGAGAGACATGCAAGTCAGGCACACACACACACACACACACACACACATACACACACACACACGCACACACACACACACACACACACACACACACACACACAGACAAACAAACAGACAAACAAACAGACGGACACACGCACGCACGCAACAGCAGCAACAAGCCGACCTGCTTTGGCGGGGCGTGCGGCGCTGTGAGTTCGCCGACAATGAGACGCTTGTAATATGTCGGGGGACGACGGATCGTCTGGCACGCGTTGTTGATGATCACATCCAAGCTGCGCGCGCGTGCGAATAAGGTGTGCGTGCGTGTGTGGTGTACGTGTGCGGTTGGTGGAGGTGGCACAATGTGAGTTCGTTGGTTGGTCTGCTACAGAGCACAGTATGTGCGGTGGGAGTAAGCCAAAGCGATGGGAGGTGACGATGGAGGGATGATTGGATTTGTCAAGTGGGCACATATGTGTGCGTGTGCGTGTGCAGGACACCAAGAGCAATTGCAGGAGGGCTGACAACCAACTGCAAGGCAAGCGCTGGTGTCATGGACGCACCATGGAAACTCTGTCATGAACCAGTCGCAAAACGATTCGACGTGCGGAAGCATGCGGAGATCCACGCCATACACATGGAGCCTATCGCCCCACGTCGTGAAGTCCTTCTCCTGAGGACGACAACCGTATGCAAGAAAGATGCGGGAGTGGAGGAACAAGATGGTGTGGGTGAGGTACAGAAGAAGAAGGAGGAGGAGGAGGAGGAGGAGGAGGAGGAGGAGGAGGAGGAGGAGGAGGAGGAGGAGGAGGAGGAGGAGGAGGAGGAGGAGGAGGAGGAGGAGGAGGAGGAGGAGGAGGAGGAGGAGGAACGGTTTCAAAACAAGAGCCGGTCGATACTTCGACGCACGTGCTGACATGTGCACCCACAAATCACGACCACAAACCACGACCACGACCACGACCAGCATCCGACCTTCTCGTATCTGGCAAATGCGTCGCGCGGGAATCGCGATGTGACGACGACGGCGGCGCCCGCACGCAGCAGTTTCAGCCCAATCTGTGCCGGGGGAGGGCCGCCAATATTGGGGGGGGGGGAGTATGTGAGTCAGTGAGTGTGCTTGTGTGTGTGTGTGGTGTGCTTGTGTGTGTGTGTGTGGTGTGCGAGTGTGCTTGTGTGTGTGGTATGCGAGTGCTTGTATGTGTGCGAGTGTGCTTGTGTGTGTGTGCATATATGTTTATGAGAGAGAGAGAGAGAGAGAGAGAGAGAGAGAGAGAGAGAGAGAGAGAGAGAGAGAGAGAGAAAGTGTGTATACGTGTACGTGTACGTGTGTATACATGTCTATGCACGTGTGTGTCGGACCTGGAATCCGATTTTGACGCGGCCGCCGGTGACAATCGCATATCGCCCGTCCAGTGAAACGAGGAACGATCGCTGTGTTCACATACACGTGCACGTCACTCGTGTGAGATTTCATGAGTGAGTCAATACGTGAATGAGCGAATGCGTGGGAATGTGTGAGTGGGGAATTGGTTTGGTCCATGCTTCGACAAGTACATCTGTGTGTGTGTGTGTTTGCGTGTGGTTGCGTGGGAGCGTTCGAGACAATTCAGTGTGGCCATTGGTGCATCTGCAACACTTGGATGCGTGTGGTGGTGTTGCGTGTGGGTGGTTGAACCTTCTCAAAGTTGAGGGCGGCGCACGTTGGGCAGAGCTGCGAATAGAAGTGGTGCAGGCGCGAAAACCTGAAGGCATGCGAACGTGGTGGTGATGATGGCGTTGGGTTTGTGTGTGTGTGTGTGATGCAGGGCGATGTGTGACGAGCATGCAAGGATTACAGGAAGAGCACGCGCTCAGTGGTACCAGGAACGAGGCCGCCCGTAGGCGGAGAGACAAAAAGGCAGAGACCTCGACCCGGACACACACACACACACACACACACACACACACACACACACACACACACACACACACACACACACACACACACACACACACACACACACACACACACACACACACACACACGGCCTCACCTCATCTTGCAGATGTAGCAGGAAAGGATGATCGTCTCCAAATCACGGGACTCGCCACCATCGCACCCATCGCCATCATCATCATCTTGATCTGTCGGCCTTGGCGCCTCCAATGCGAGCGGGTCGTGTGTTGCAGCGCCGTCGGGAACAGCGATGCTGGCCTGGCTCGCGTGGTGGTGGATGCACACACAGATACGTACACTGACGTAAGATGCAGAAAGATAGACACACACACAGACAAACAAACAGGAAGACATATACAGACAGGCAGACAAGCGGGCACACACACATACATACATACACAGACCTACACACAGACCTACACACACAGACCTACACACACACACACACACACACACACACACACACACACACACATGCACACCTCGATGCCAAGAGCGGATGCCTTTTCCTGCAGCTGTTTGAGGGCCTGGATGCGGTGCTGGCGAAGGCGCTTGCTGTTGATCACCTTGCGGTCCAACGCAGCCTGTTGCACGATGATGGTCATGACGATGATGATGATGATGTGTTTGATGGAGAAAAGCAGGGGGAGAAGGCAAGGGGATAACATGTGAGCATGTGTGCGTGGATAAGCGTGTGTATGCGTGAGTGTGTGCGTGAGTGTGCGTGTGTGTGTGGAGGGGGGATGACAGAGGAACGTCTTGTGCTCATCGCTTGCATGGAGGCAGGCAGGACACAGAGAGGCAGGTGGGGAGAAGGTGTGGTTTCATGTCTTGCGTGTGTCGCTCACCTTCTTCATCTTGTACGCATTGCGTGCTTTCCGACTGCGTATTGCGTGGTGTTGATTTGGGGGTGGGGAGGGCGAAAGTTGTGAGGGGGAAGTTGTGAGGGGGAAGTTGTGAGAGCGAAGATGAGGGAGCTTGTCAATGCAGCTGTTGAAACGAAAGATTATGCACAGGTAGACAGATACACACACACACATACACAAACACACAGACACAGGCACACACACAAGCACACAGACACAGGCACACACACAAGCACACAGACACAGCCACACACACACACACACACACACACACACACACACACACACACACACACACACACACA